GATGACAAATTCTAGCTCGGGGGGGGGCGCGGGGGGTGAGGAGGGATTATTGGCAACAGCGGCAGGAGGCATGCTTGCACTACAGAGGGCTGGGCTGTGTGCGCTCCAGCCACGGAGTGGGAATTGGAGAGTGGCAGCCGTTGGGAGCAACGGGCCCCACGCCCGTCGCCACTCCTCCTGTGCAACACAATGCCCCCCACACCCCTCCAGGTGTGCATGGTGCTGCGGTACGTGGCTGACGAGATCACGCTGTACAGCGACGACATCGCGGTGAGCCTGGCGGCGGCAGGCAGCTGGGAGGCGGGAACATTGGGCAGGCCTGCTGCGACCTGCGACACGACATGCAGGCCTGCTGCGACATGCAGCGGCAGCTGGGGCTGCATGGGCCGCTGGCAGGCATGCAGAGGATGTGTTTCCGCCGAGTTGGAATCATGCCTGGCCCAAACTCGGTGCCGGGCTCGCACCTCTGGATGTACCTCTGCTGTGTGCATCAAAGCCATCAGCCATCTGCCTGCCGCTTCTTCCGCGCCCACACCCCCGCTCGCCCGCTGTCCCGCGGGCAGGGCGACGCCAAGCGCCTGCTGCTGTCCAGCCTGACCAAGTCGCTGGGCGAGGTGCTGCCCTTCCTGGAGCGCATGCTGGAACTCAACTTTGGGGCGGCGGGCGCGGCGGCGCAGGCGGGCAACCGCGAGGCGGCCCAGCAGCACGTGCTCGTCATCCAGGCCGCGCTGCAGGCAGCCAACACATACTCGGGTGCGTCGGGGGGTGCTTGCGGCGGGTTGGGCATCAGAGGCCGGCGCACACAGCGCTTGTGACAGCGTACGTGCGTTGTTGTTGTGGGCATGGCTCGACCCCCGGCACAAACAGCAGCCTGCCGCGGCCGCCCGCCTGCGCCGCAGAGTGGGTGCCCGTGGGGCGGCTTAAGGATGCGGGGCTGATTGCCGCCTGCGGCTACATGCTGAGCACGACCGAGTTCCGGGAGGCGGCCTGCGACGTGATGCGCCAGGTGGCAGGTGCGCCTCGCTGGCAGCAGGGCCAGGAGGGTGGCAGCAGGGACAAGGACGGCGGCAGCAGGGACAGGAGGGTGGTGGCAGGGCCAGGAGGGTGGCAGCAGGGACATGAGGGAGGCAGGCAAGATGATGCAGGATGTCCAGGGCCAGGCAACCTGCTGCATGCCTGCGTGCCTGCCACAAAACCCCACAGACCGCGCCCCGCAGACCCACAGCACCCGCCCATGCCGCATCCACCTGCCCTGCTGTCCCCCCACCGATTGTTGCAGGCCGCAGGCAGAGCGACGAGGCGCCGGAGGTGTTCAAGGCGGTGTTGGAGCAGGTGGCAGAGGCGCTGATTGCTGCGGCGGCCTCCCTGCTGTCCCCCGGCGCGCAGGCAAGCCTGGCGGGGGAATGAAGAAGCAGCTGTGACACGCCATGGTTGCCCATGCATGTCGTGCCTGCGCTCCAGCGCCCCATTGTCTGCCCGTGGGCTGTCCTTTGGCCATGCCTGCCCTGCCGCAGCCTGCCACTTCCACCCAGCCTCCCACCATGCCTGCTCGTCTGCCTGCCTCCTCCCCCTCCCCCTCCTCCTCCTCCTCCTTCCCCTGGCCTCAGGCGGAGCTTGGCTATGAAGGCCAGCACGACGAGTTTGGCCAGACTCTCTGCGAGACGATGGCCACCCTGGGCACCTACCAGCTGTCCGCCATCGCTAGCCCCGACAAGAAGCTGGCCTTCCTGCAGCACATGCTCAGCTTCGCGCAGCACCCCTACCTGCTCCTGGCCGACAAGGCCCTCCCCATGTGGGTCAAGCTGCTGCAAGACGCGGCGCAGTCAGTCAGCAACGCGGCGGCGGCGGCCGCGTCTGCCGCGGGCAGTGGAGGAGCAGGAGGAGGCGGGGGCGCCAGCTCGCCACGGCAGGCCACCGTGGCGCTGCCGCCAGAGTGCATCTTGGCGCTGATGGACATGGCGGCCGACCAGCTGCAGGTGGCGGGGAAGCTGGCGGTACCGGGTGCAGCTGTGTGGTGGTAGGGGGCATGCCGTCGTGCTGCGCTAGCCCCGCGCGCGCCTGCTGGCGCTCGGGCGCTGGCGTGGCGCTGGCATGGCATGGCGCTGCCATGCTCTCCTCGCTCTGCCCTCTCCTCCCGCTATCTAGATCTGCATCTCCCGCGGGCACATGCCTGCTTCGTGGTCCGCCTGCAGAAGCGCGGCGCGCACGTTCCCACCGAGGACGATGAGTTCCCTTCCTACTTTGACACCTTTGCGGTGAGGCTGGGGTTTGGTTTTAGGGTTTGTGGTGTGGTTGGTGGTTGGGTTGGCAGGGAGGGTGATTCGTGAGGCGAGGCAGGGCTGAGGGAGCGCTCGCTCTGTGGCGCTGGCGCCAAAGTTCCTGCCGCCCTGCCTGTGGTACCGCAGGATTACAAGGAGATGATGGTGCAGTACCGTGCCCGCCTCTCCAGCATCGTGCGCCACGCGGCGGCGGTATTGCCCGAGCAGGCCCTGGTGGCGGCGGCGAGACGCCTGGACGGCGCGGCCGCCGCCTGCGCCCCCGGATCAGGCGAGCGGGCCGCGGGGATGGCTGGCAGGGCGGCAGCATGAGGCGGAGCATGCGGTGTGCACCTCATCTTTTTTTCGAGGGCTCGATTACTTCGCTGGGCGCTGTGCGCTCCCTGCACCTTTGCCCCTGATTGCCCTGCTTTGGGCACCCACGGGCGCCGGCCACAACTGAGTCGACCCGAGCGCCTGCTCCCTGCTGCAGGCGTCAAGGTGGAGGAGGCGCGGGGCCTGCTGGAGTCTGCGGTGCACTTTGCCGAGAGCGCCTTCAAAGCCGTGTGGGACGGCAGCATCCAGGAGCAGCCCGCCAAGCTGCAAGGTGGGGCCGTGTGTGGTGGGCTGGCCGCGAGTGTGTGGGGAGTAGGTTGCGCCCGATCTCACGCGCAAGGCGGCCTCATGCATCGTCGCCCGGTGCAAGCCGAGCGCAGCTGGCCGACCCTGCGCCTGTTGTGCGCCTGCCTGCCACCGCCTGCCTGCGCATGCTGCAGCCGTGGTGGGCGCCATGGAGCCGATGCTGCAGCGGCTGCTGAGCCTGCAAGTGCGGGACGCCATTCTGATGCAGCACCAGGCCCGCGGCCTGGAGACCTTCCATCGGCTGTTTGGCGTGCGCCCAGACCTGGCCGGACCCGCCGTGGGCAGGTGGGCTTGGAGGCTTGGGGTGGTCGCGACGCAGGGCTCAGCGGTGGAGGAGTGTTCTGGGGTGCCGGTTGGGATGCTTTGCTTGCAGAGTGTTGCTTGCTTGCTGTTGTGCGCCGGCCGTGCCCACCCTGCTTCCTCCCCGCCCTCCCGCAGGGTGTTTGACTTGCTGGTCAACAACCTGCCCCTAGATGCGGCGGGCCAGGAGCCGCCACCCGCCAAGCCGCCGCCCGGCTGGCGCGACGGCATGCACGCGCGCCAGTACACCGCCAGTGAGTGCCGCCATGTGTTTGCGCGCCTGCTGCGCGTTTTGCCTGGGTGTGCTCTGCAATGGCTTCAGTGCACACCCTCGGCTGGAAGTTTCCAGTTTCCGAGCCCAGCAAGAACCCTCGGGCAAAAAAATGTCAGCCCACATGCGTGCCATGCCTGCTGCGCCCGATGTGTGCAGTGGTGCTGCTGGTGTGGACCAAGGCCTCCCCTCAGGCCTTCCTGCCGCACCTGGAGGCGCTGGCCACGCAAGTGGGGGAGCTGTGGGAGCAGGGGCGCATCCGGGCAGGTGGGCGCGCCGACAAGGATGGGGTGGCACGCAAGCCCAAGCACACCCGCCGCAGCCTCACCTTGTCGTACCCTACCGTACCTGATCATGCTACCTCTTGGTTGGCTGCTGCCCTGGCCTGGCTGCGCTCATGCTGCCTTGTGCCGAGCCGTCTGCTCGGCCTGCCCCCCCCGCTGCCGCAGGCGAGAAGAACGCGCTGCAGGAGGCGATAGTGGGCGCCGCGCGGGCGGGCCCGGAGCAGCTGCAGGCGTCTGTGCTGGAATGGGTGCTGGCGCCGGTGCGAGGCGAGTGGGCCACGCCCGCCTGGCAGGCCCACCTGGCCTCCCCGCAGGCCTTCATGCTGCACTACACGCCGGTGGTGCCCGACGGCGCGGGCGGCTGGCAGGTGCGGCACGTGGGGCGGCAGGCCTGGCAGCTGGCAGTGGTGGCGAGCCCAGCCCTGCTGCCGCGTCCTGCCCTGCTGCCATCCCGCCCTGCCGCTGCATTGCCATGGCCCAGCACCTGACCGGCCAGCCTTGCTGTACCGTGGTACCACGGTACTGCAGGTGGGCGGCCGCTCGGAGCGCTGGATCCTGTACCACCACGCACACCTGGCGGAGCGCTGCATACGCAGCATGAAGGCGGCGGCGGGCGCGGTCACCCATCCGCTAGCGCAGCACGCAGGTGCGGAGCGGCATGCCCGGATGGCTCTGGGGCGGGCAGGCGGGCGGGCTGGGCTTCTGCCATGCTTGCACCCTCGCCCTCGCTCCCCTGGGCGCTCCTTTCCTCTTGTCGCCCTTGCCCGACTCCCAGCCCTGCTGAACCGCCCGAACAACTCTGGTTTTTCCTGCAGAGTGGGCGGTACCCAACATGCTCCGCATCGTTGCTTGCCTGCATGCGCTGTACACGCCCGCGGGGCGAGCCGCCATGGGCCCCGCCGCCACCGCGCTGGAGATGGCGCCGCAGGAGCGGGCGCTGTACCTGCGGCGCGGGCCCGCGGGCAAGCCGGCCGTCAGGGTGCGCCGGCGGCGGCCGCGGCGCCGCGCTGCCAGCCGCCAGCCCGTGCCCTGGGCACCTCCCTCTGCTTTCCTCGGGCCGCAATCTGCTGTGCCGCGCTGTGCTCGCCTGCCTGCCTGCCCGCCTGCCCCCTTGCCCTTCGTTGGACCCACCCGCGCTGCTTGCCCTTGCTTGCCCGTGCTGCAGCCCGCCGACGCGCCCGACGGGGAGACATGGGACGACGGGTACTCTAGCGTGGGGGGCGCCTCCCCCGCTGCGCTGCGCGCCTGGCTGCGTCACATGCGGGAGTTCACTTACCAGGTAGGCGTAGGGCTGTCCCGGCTGGCTGGCCCGGCTGGCTGGAGGGCGTGGGCTGGCTGCCGGGCCGCGCTGCTGGCTGGCAGCTTGGGTTGCTTGCTGGATGGCTGGATGGATGGAAAGCGTGAGATGGCTTGCGGGCGTGGCTAGTCGGGCCTGCCTGCCTGGCTGCCTGACATCGATCCGAGTGCTGCGGTTGTTGTCCTCTCGAGCTGGCGCTGGATCAAACAAAGTTGTGCACCAAGCCCTCGCCCATGCCGCCGCCCCACACCCAACACGCCCACCATCCCACCCTTCTCTGGTGCCGCAGTCAATGGGCCTGCTGCCCACTCACTGCCCTCCTGCCATGGACTCCGCCGCCATCCAGGCAGCCTACGTGCAGTCTGCCTTTGCCTACATAGAGGTGCGTGGCTGGTGTGTGGTTTGCCAACGTTGGGTGAGCTGGCTTGAACACACCAGTGCTAGGGGTTGCATCGTCCTGCTCTGCGCACACCCCCTGATTGCCATGCGCGCTCCTTGCTCGCGCTGCGTGGCCGGTGGCGGCTGAGGAGGAGGCTGCGTGCCCTCTCACCCTGCCCCGCACGCCCCTTGTGTGCCCGCCAGTCTCTGGAGCACCAGCACGTGCGCATCATCATGCGGCACATCCTGATCCCGCACATCAAGAACTGCGCAGGTGTGTGCGCGTGTGTGTGTGCTCAGGGTTGTATCTTGGCTATGCGGCAGGGTCCATACATCTAAAACAGGCGGTCTGGTGTGGACACCGCCTCCCCGCCTGGCCCACAGCCGCACCCTGCCAGCCATGTTCGGAAGCTGACCGTTGGCCCTTACTTCCCTGGCCTGCGCTCCCGCCTGACGCCGCCCGCCGCAGACCGCCACCTGCGCCCCTGGGTGCTGCCGGCGCTGGCCATCCTGGTGCCGCACATGCACAGCCGGCTGACGAGCGCATGGGGCAGCCTGCAGGCGCCGGCAGGTGGGCAACCACATTGCTTGCTTGTGGACGCGGCCAGCATATGCCATGTTGGCTGCTGGATGATGGTGGCGGCAGAGCCTGGCCACCCCACTTGCCGCCGGGAGCAGCAGGAGAAGACTGGACGCTGCGGTGCCGCGCTAGCCCGCCACGTCAGCGCCCGGTTGTACCTGCAGGCCCCAGCAGTACGGAGGACTCAGCCTCCGCCAACGACGAGATCATTCGGGAGCGGCTGCTGCGGGAGCTCACCCAGGAGTATGCCTTGCTGCTCAAGGAGCTCACCACACGCACCGTAGGCGGCCCCGGCCCCGGCAGCGGCGCCCCCGGCGCCAGCGGCAGCCCGCCGGGCGCGGCCCCCGGCGGCGGCGGCACCGGCGGCGGCAAGGCGGCGCTGGAGTGGCTGCTCGAGGCCGACCCCGGCACCGGCTTTGGCGCGGTCACGACGGCGGTGGCGGGCATGTGCTGGCGTGACGACTCGGCCCACCGCTTTGCGCTGCTGGCTCGCAGCCTGGTGGGCATGGCGCCGCGGGACGCCCGCCTCTACGCCTACGTCGGCAGCGAGGTGCTCAAGGCCGCCATCACCAGCCTGGGGACAGAGGTGAGGCGGCTGCCGCCGAGGCGACCCTGCTGCTCAGGTGGCCCTGCTGCTCAGGCGGCTCCGGTTGCTGAGGCGCTGGGGATCAGTGGGCGGCCCCCATGCTGTGCTGGGCCCCGCTTCGCTTCCACTGCTGAGCCCTTGGCCAGGCGGGCGCACTTGTACCCACCCGCGCTTGTGCCCACCCGCCCCGGCGCTGTGCAGACGATGGCCACCCACCAGGCGGATGTGATGCAGCTGATCCGCGACATCCTGGCGCAGCAGATCAACGACCCTGGGTGGGCATCGCGGCGGCTTCGGCTGGTCCGGGAGCGGCGAGGCAGCGGGCTGGGCGCCCTGCAGAGGGAGCTGCAGTGCAGGCCCTGGCCCCGTCCTGCCTCCTGCCCTTGGCCCCGCCCTGCCTGCCACGCTTCCTGCCTGTCCCCTGCCGCCTGCCTGCCTGCCTGCCGCAGCTCTGCCGTGCACGGCGTGCTGGCGTCGCTGCCCAAGATGACGCCCGCGGACCTGGACCGCTTCCGCTCCTCCCTGCTCGCCACCGGCAGCGAGAAGGCGCAGCGCGACTTGACCAAAAAGATGCTGGTGAGGCGGGGGCTGCCCTGCCCCTGGTGGCCGCCGTCGTTGGTTGGTCTGCGGGGCTGGTGGTGAGGCGTGCCAAAGCAATGCTGTGGTCGGCTCCTGGTGGTACACTCGGCCTGCCTCGAGGGCGCAAGCACATCAGCATATGCACAAGGAAATCCTGCACAGGTGGCGGCCTGCGGCAAGGGCTCGCTGGCGGCTCTGGCAGACTGGAAGCCGCCCACGGTGGCATCGATGACGGAGCCCAAGCTTCGGGCGGTCAAGGCGGCGGGCGGCGCAGCGGAGGAGCACGCTGAGGCGTTCACGGCGGCAGCGGTGTCCACGCTGTTCGACCGATAGCATGCCTGGAGCGAGTCTAGCGGACAGACGGCGTGTGAGGGCGGGCTGCATTGCTGCCCTGTTCCCCCTCGAACCGTTGAGTGCAACAAGAAATCTGAGAGCGTCAACCTTTCTGCTAACCCGTGCTGCTGTGCATTGGCTTATATTCCTGCTAAAGTGAGTTCTCTCGTTAAAGTGTGATGCCTTACATGGAAGGGCTGAGTGGAGGGGGCAAGTCAGGCTGCGTGAAGCCGCTCCCGTCGAGCGGAGGCCGTCAGCTCCTTCAAGCCGGAGGAGGAGGCCAGCAGCTCTTCAACCAACGATATTGGCCTGAGGTTGGAGGAGAAGCACCAGATGGGCCGGTCACGCTGCACTGCAATAATGCAAATCACTACCCTACCCATCCAGCTCCCTACCCACAGCTCCCGCCACTCTTGCCGGGCGCCGGGACGGAATGCTGCAATCAGTGGGCCCATCGGCCTCCTGGTTGCCGCGATTCTCAATCATACCCCTCCGACATGGCCCTGGGAGCCTCCAATGCAGGATTTCCTTCATCTCAGGGTGTTCGTTCGCTGCCTGCTGACCCTGCTGCGCCAAGTGGGATGCGGCAAAGCTGTGGTAGAGCATCGGGCGCTCCCTCCCATTCATCTGCAGCCATGGGGACGCTACTAGAGACCCCCGCTGCGGCGGGAGGCCCCAAGTTCAGCGATATTACCTTCGACCTGTCAGAGCCGTCGTTCCAATCAGATCATTTCCGGTGAGGAGCTCGGGCCGCCGTTTTCGGCCGAAGCAGGCGCCTGGGGCCGGGCATGGAGGAGGGTGCCAGCAGGGTGTCCCGTGCGAGGTTTGCCATCGCCTTTGTTCCCCTCTGGAAAGGCTCCGGAGGGGTGGCAGGTGCATGCCGACACCGGCGCGAGGGGCAGCGCTGGCGGGGGCGTGCACGCCGCTTCGCCTTTGTGGCTGTGTGACCGCCCCGCTGCCTCCTCCGCCTCCCCTGGCCGTGGCGTGCAGGATGTATGACTTCAAGGTCAAGCGGGTAGGTCTGCAGCCATGAGGCGCCAAGTTGGCAGTCTCCCACGGCGGCGGGTGTCAGCCGGGCCGATTGCAGAAGCTGCCGCCATCGCGTCCTGCTGGTACTCACTGCCTGCACTGTTGCCCCACCCTCTGCAGTGCCCCAGGGCGCGGCCACACGACTGGACAGCCTGCCCGTTTGCGCACCCGGTGAGCTGCCCTGATGGGTCTGCGTGTGCCAGGGCAGGGTTTCCCGCCACCACAGCCTGGCGGTACGCTCCCCGCCGCTGACCTTTGGCGCCGCTGCCACTTGTTTCCAGGGCGAGAAGGCGAAGCGGAGGGACCCTCGCCGCTACCGGTACAGCGGTACAGCCTGCCCTGACTTCCGAAAGGTGCGGCAGAGGTCTTGGAGGGCAAAGGTCGCAGCAAGCAGCAGGGCAAACAACTCGCAGCTGACGGGCTGGATGGCACTTGCTGCGATGTCGACAGCCTGGGCGGCAGCTGCCGGGGCAGCCTGCAGGCCTGCGGGGCGTGCGGGTGGCGTGGCCGCCGGTGCTGAGCAGCCCTCCCGTCCTTGCTGGCGCCTGCAGACGGGAGTGTGCCGCCGCGGCGACGCCTGCCCTTACTCGCACGGCGTGTTTGAGTGCTGGCTGCACCCCAGCCGCTACAGGACGCAGGTGCGCATGTGTCTTGTGTGAAACAGATGACACCCTGCCGCCCACCTGATTGTCGCCTGGTCCAGGTGGTCAGCCGACGCAGCCGGAGAGCCAGAGAGAGCCAGAGTATATGGCTGCTGCCCCCATCCAGCAGAGCCCGGCCCCATGCCCTCACAACAGCGCCCCTGTCGCGCCACCTGCCACAGATGTGCACCGACGGCCCCAGCTGCCGCCGCCGCGTCTGCTTCTTTGCGCACTTTGAGCACGAGCTGCGGCGGGCGGAGGAGTACCCTCCGCTGCTCAACCAGCAGCTGCACGCGGGCCTGGTGGCGGGTGAGCGCCCTGCCTGTTGCGAGCAGCCCCTTTGGGGACTGCCGGCGGCTGCAGCCTGCGGCGGCATCTGGTGTGTGCGCAGATGCCTGCCTGTTGAGCAGCCCAGCTTGAGCATGAATGGGCGAGGCTGGTGGCCGCTGTTCTCGCAGTCGCTGAGTGCTCGAGCCCCCGCCGCCGGCCTTGCTGCAGACGCGCGCGCGCTGCAGCAGCAGCAGCTGGCGCAGGCGCTGAGCGGCATCCTGGGCAGCTCGGCGCCCGCGCTGCCTGGCGGCAGCCCCGCGGGGCTGGAGCCTCTCATGAGCGTGCAGCTTCTCAAGACGCTGTCGCAGCAGACGCCCGCCAGCCTGATCCCGGGGGACAGCGCGCCTGCCACCCCCACTGGCCTGTCTGGGCTGAGCCCCACCACCACGCTGGGCGGTGGCGTGCAGGACAGCTCCAGCCTGCTGCTCCAGCTGCAGCTCATGCAGCAGCAGCAGCAGCAGCAGCACGGCGGCGGCCAGCTGGGCGGCGCGCTGGCCGCCACGCTGAGCGACGCGTCGCAGCACAGCGGCAGCTCGCCGGGCGGGTCGCCCCGCATCATGCAACACCCGGCCGACGTGCGGACCCCAAGCGCCATCGATGCCGCCCGCCAGGGCTCCCCGCCTGCCATGGTGGCAGCCGAGGAGGCCAGCCAGCTGGCCCGCTACATCCAGCAGCAGCAGCAGCAGCAGCAGCAGCAGCAGCAAGCTGCGGCGGCGGCCGCCGCCGCCGGCAGCATCGACCCCGCCCTGCTGGCCGCGCTGCAAAACCTGGGGCTGGGCGGGACGCAGGAGGTGAGGCGCGGCAGCTGGCTTGTTTGTGCGGGGCAAAATGCAGTTTGCTTGGGCCTGGCGGTGGGGTTGCCTGCAGGGGTGGGGCTGGTGCTGGGCGCGCCGTCGCTGTGCAGGCGTGTTACCCACCTGCGCGCCCCTCCTGCTGCTCGCCTCGCAGGCTCTGGAGGCCGCTGGGCTGGGGCTGGGGCTGGCCTCCGCCCGACGCTCCATCGACAACGGCGCGCTGTCCCGCAGCGGTACCGCCGACAACTACCTGGCAGCCGCCGCCGCGGCGCTGGCCTCCGGCAACGCGGTGGGCAGCCTGGGCGGCGGCGCGGCCCCCTCTGCGCCCCCCGCCGCCTCCCCGCTCCTCGGCCCCGCCGGCGGCAGCAGCCTGCCCTCCCGCAACTACATGGCTGCGGCGGCGGCGCTGCAGGGCGCGGCTCTGGCGCGCGGCGCCTCGGGCGGCCAGCCGGGGCTGGATGAGGACCGCACGCTGTCGCTTGACCAGTGAGTGAAGAGGCGCCCTGCATATATAATCACCTTGCAGCCTCTGCCGGGGCTCCACCTTCCATGCCGTCCGTGCCTCCCTGGGCTTGCCAGGCAGACGGATAGACAGCCGGCCTGCCAGCTGCTGGCCCTCTGGCTGCTCAGCGCCTGTTGGAACGTGGCCCCTGACGCCTCTGCGCTGCCCTCCCTGCCCTGCAGCATCCTGGCTGAGCTCCCGCGCTCGGCCTCCCAGGTCAACCTGCCCCCCCAGTGAGCAGGCCAAGACATGCCGGGGCCGCGATGCCCAGCCCAGCCCCGCCCAGCCCAGCCCCTGCGCTCTGATCACGGCTCGCTGCCCACGCACGCCGCGCATGGCTGGGCTGGCCCCCAGCACACATTGTGTGAGCCTGCCGGCGCGCCGCGCCCGGCGGGCTGTCAGTTCATTGCCAGTCACCCTCTGCCCTGGCCTCGCCATAAGTCCTCCTTTCTCCTCAGTGCACTGCACCCCTTCTCCCTCTGGGACTGCCGGCAGCGCCCCGATGGCAGCACGCCGCTTTGCTGCGCCAGCGCTGCTCGCCAGCGAGGCTGCCTCACCTGAATGTCATTCCCTAGCCCCTGCCTCACTGTTGTTTCGTTTGATTACTCGCCTACCATTTGCCAGCGTCGCGCCTGTGCCGTGTGATGTGATACGTGAATGGCTGGGGCGGCTGGGGCGCGCCTCTGTCGCCCCAGCCCCCCGCCAAGCATGTGACTATCCCCAGCCTTTTTGCCCTGGTGCGTCCCTTGTTTTTCGCGGCGCTGCTTGTAGAGCCTGCCGCCTCTCAACCCTGCCCCTCACTCACATTGTTAAGCGTCGCAGTGTCTGTCTCCACAGTCCCCCTCGATTATAATGCCGCTAGCCACTCCTTCTTCTGCCGATTCTTTGCTCCGCCCCGATCGCTAAACGAACGCCCTCGCCGCTTCCCACACCCCAGGAATAACCTCCCCCCAACTTCCCTCGGGCCACTGCGCTGCCTGCCTGCCCGCCCGGGGCGCGGCCGAGCCTCTGCTGCCCGCCGCGCCCCCGCACACCGAAATGCATCCTCCCTGGCTGGGCCCAGGCGCGCTCACTGTACGCTACTACCGCCAACCGTTTTGCCCGATTGATTCTTGCACGCGTTTTCCCCACAAGTGACGCTCAACCCTTTTCGGCGCGCCACCACCCCCGCAGCACCACCCACAACAAAATGATCCCACCGGCGGCAGCAGCGCATGATGTACGGACCCCATCTCATGCCGACCATCCTTCCTGTGATTTCTCGATTTCTACACTCCCCTCCTGCGCCGTACCGAGCCATTTGCCCGGACCGTGCCAGCGATGTAATAGCTTGTCGAACAGCTGAGTCGGGAGCCAGGAAGGAGGAGGCACCTGGCTGGCGGTGCCTGTGGCTAGGTGCCTGTGGCTAGGCGCACGTCTGGGTCGTCGCTGCGCTTGGCGGCCGTGCTGCTGGGCAGCCATGCGCCCGTCATAACGATTTTTATCATGCTCATGTTGATTTAATGGTTCATTTTGGGCACGTGAATCCTCAGCAGTGAATCCGTTGCCTGCCCCTGTGCTGGTCAACGGGCGCTTCGCCTGCCGTGCCAGCGGAGCCACTCGCGCTTTCCTCCAAAGGCTTCTTCCGCCAGGGAGCCATCCCAGATTTGCGTCTTCTACTATTTGATGTCCTTGAGGGTCAGCAGGTGCCTAGAAGGCGAAGAATGGGCAATATTGTCGGCGGTCTGGCACACCCCGCGCCCTCCCTGGTGCTGGAGGAAACGGGCCAGGTGACGGACCTGCTCCTCCACCTGAAGAGACAGGTTGGTGACAGCTCGAGTAAACCAAGGACCTGACTGCGGGCCGCGCTTGGGCCGCTGCGAGGCTCCAGAATGTGCTGGGGAAGGCTTCTGGGGATCACGGGCGCGGCTGGCAGCCCTGCGCCCTGCGGTCGGCCGACTCCTTGTGAACCGTCGCGACAGCGGCCTGGCGGCACCTGCCCGCTGCCTGCCTGGGCGCCTGGCTCTCCCCTTCCCTGCAGCTCTGCGGCAAGTCCAGCACCTGGCTGGCCCTGCTTGCAACCTGCTCTCCAGCCCCTGCCACCTCTGCAGGTCCGCGACCCCAAGCTGCGCCGAGTCGTGGACCGCAGCGGGTCGGCAGCCGAAATAGCTTCGCTGTTTACCAATGAAGACCGGAACGACATCGGCGGCTTCAAGGCCCTGCACCTCGCAGTCGCCACGGGATGGGCAGAGCTGGTGGACAAGCTGCTTGAGGTGGGTGCTGCGTCAGCCAGCCGACACACCTGCAGCTTGCTCCAATCCCCAACCCACCCGCCGCCTGACCCCCTTTGCTGTATGGGCTTGCAGTCTGGTTTCAGCAAGAACAAGCTTGCAGCACAGACTTTCAAGTACAGTATGTATCATGCCCTGCCCCGCAGTCCTCCAGCGGCGTGTACCGCGTCAATGCCGCCTCCTCCGAAGGCTACACCCCGCTGATGGTGGCCGCGCTGTGCGGCCGAACGGCGCTCGTCGACCGCCTGCTCGCCAGCGGCGCCTTGCTGCACCGCCGCAGCCGGCGCGGCGCCACCGCACTCCACTTTGCGGCGCAGGCAGCAGAGAGCCAGGGCGCGCTGCGCGCGCTGCTGGCCCACCCCTCGTGCACCCCCGCGCTGGTCAACGCGACGGGCTACCGCCAGCGCAGCGCGCTGCTGCTGGCGCTGCTGGCTCACGGCGACGCGGGCGTGGTGCGGGGCCTACTGGAGGCTGGGGCCAACCCCTTGGAGCGCACGCCCACAATGGCCAACATCTCGCTGCTGCACAGCTGCGCCCACCTGAGCAGGTGGATGCCGCCGCCGCCGCACCCTGCTCCCTCCAGCCCCCTGGCCGTGGTGCTGCGTGGCCGCCACGCCTGTGTGCACCCAGCACCTCTGGTGTACGCATCGCCCCAAAGAAGACCGTGCTGCTGCTGTGCTGTGCACTCACTCACCGCGCTGCCTTCTGTGCTGGCGCAGGGTGGAGGCCATGCGTGCGCTGATCGAGGCGGGTGCCAAGGTGGACAGCGCCGCCTCAGACGGCATCACTGTGCTGCAGGAGCTGTTTGTGCAGCCGCCCAGCCGGCAGCGCAGCGAGGCCTCCAAGCGCGCGATGTTCCGCATGCTGGCGGCGGCGGGGGCGGACCTGAACGCGGTGGTACCGCACGGCTACACGGTACTGCACTTTGTCATGTCCAGCTGCAAGGACGAGGCCACCGCCCTGCTGGTGGCCGACTCGGGCCTGGACTTGCGCATCGCCATCAACAAGCCCGTGCTGCTGGGCGACGCCGCGCTGCACAACAGCCTGCTGCACCTGGCCGCCATGCGCGGCTGGGCGCGCATGGCCGAGCGGCTGGTGGCGGCAGGTGGGCGCAGGGCCTGGGGCTGCGCTGGCGCGGCAGGCATGGGGCAGGCCGCCTGGCCTGGCTGGCTGCCTGTTGGGGAGGCTAGCCGCTGGCCTGCCAGCTCTGCAGTAGTGCCCCGCCACTTCAACCCCAGGCTGCTCACAGCGTCGTTTCTGACTCCTCTGCCGCTGCTGCCGCTGCAGGCGCCGACCTGAGCCAGCGCAACAAGGACGGCATGCAGCCGCTGCACGTGGCCATCCTCCATGCGCAGCCAGAGGCGGTGGCGGCGCTGCTGCGCCTGGGTGCCGACCCCCGGGGCGCCTGCCCCGACTGCTACCCTAGCTACGCCAGCTGGAAGCGGCAGCGGGGCGTGCAGGCCATGCAGGTGCGCCGCTGGTGGCACCACAGGCGCTTGGGAGGGAGGTGGAGGGCGGCGCTGCTTTGGAGCTGGGGCCGCCTTGCCGACGCTTGGCTGTTCCTCTCCTGCATGCTTGACCCGCCTGGCCGCCTTCCTGCCTGTTTCCATGCCTCATTCCCCTTGCCCGCCTTCCCTTCTTGCCCCACAGGCTCTGTTTGAGAACGAGGACGGCCCCGGCATGCTGCCCGCCATCATGCAGCTGTTTGGTGGCGCCGACCCGCTGGCCGAGGGCGCCCCGCGGCTGACGGCCGTGGACCTGGCCTGCTGCGTGGCGCGCCACATCCCCTGCGTGGAGGCGTTTGTGGAGGCGGGCGTGGCTCCCTCGCCCGCGGCGCTGGCGCTGGCGGAGCATGCGGTGCCGCTCATGAGGTGAGGAGCGGGGGCAGGTGCGTGGCGGCGGTGCTGGATGCATGTCTGTGCCTGCTGGTCTGTGTAGACGGCAGATGGGAGGCCGATGGGACGTGGAGGTTGGTGGAGGGATCGGGATGGTATTTGGCAAGCCACACTCATCATCCTTGGACCATTCTGCCTGCCTGGCTGCAGGGCGGTGGTGGAGCGCCCCATGTGGAGCCCCAAGCTGCACCGGCGGCTTCCGCGCCGCTTCCGCGCCGCAGCCCGCGAGCTGGTGCTGTGCCTCAGCCGCCCCACCATCACGGATGATGGTCGCTCCGTCAGCCTAACCCCTGACGAAGTGGCGGCGGTGCTGCAGAAGGCAGCCTTCCCGGTGTCCCGCTGGGCCGACCGCGCCTGGCTGGCGCAGCAGACTGTCGGGCCGCCGCGTGTACGCCCTCCACCGCCTGTGCAGCAACCGGCCGCGGCCGCTGGCGCCGGCGAAGCCGCCGGGCAGGAGCCGCAGCAGCAGGCGCAACAGCAGGCGGGCGCGGGAGCGGCGGCGGGAGCGGGAGCGGCGGGCGTGGCGCATGTGGTGGCGGCCGGGGACGAGGTGCCGCCGTTTGTGCAGGCGATGCTGGAGCAGGTGCAGCAGCAGCTGGGTATGCCGGGCGGCCAGCCCCAGTTTGTCTTCATGCACCAGCCCGGCGGCCCCCCGCAGGGCGCCGCTGCGGCGGCCGGCGCGGCGGCCGGCGCGCCCGGCGGGGTGCCTCCCTGGGTGCACATGCTGCAGCACCAGCAGGTCAACAACGGGGACCAGCAGTTCCACGTGATGCAGGTGAGGGCAGGGAGAGGAAGAGGGAGGCTGCCTTGCTGCCGGTAGCTTGGTCAGGCTGGCTGCTGCTGATGCCAGGCTGTGCGTGTCTGTACACACGCACAGGCCTCCTCGACCAGCGGCTTGGCTTGGTTGCCCTGAAGTATGGACGCTCGCCCCACCATGCCCTGCCCTCTGCAGTTCGAGATCAACCTGCCCGTTGGGATGCCCGGCATGCCCTTCCCGCCTGGGCCTGCCGGCGGCGGGGGCATGCTGCCTCCCGGCCTGGCGCCGCCGCCCGGCCCGCCGCCCCCCGAGGTCCTCAGCTTCTTTGAGCAACTGTTTGGCGGGATGGTGGGGGCGGACCCAGCCTTTATGGAAGGCTTCATGGATGGGGTGATGGAGGGGCAGGCCATGGCAAACGCAGTCCCTGGGGTAGAGGAGGATGACAGCGAGGAGGAATATGACAGCGAGGAGGAGGAGATGGAGATGGAGGAGGAGCCTCTGCCCCCGCAGCAGCCCCCGGCGGCTGCGGCAGCCGCTGCCGCTGCGTCCCCCGGCGCCCAGCACGCGGCGGGCGCCTCGGGTGGCGCGGGGCCCAGCAGGCAGCCGCCCCGCCAGGATGGCGAGCACGAGCGTGCGGTGGCGGAGCAGCGCGAGGGCAGCAAGCGCCCAGCCGACGCGCCTGGCCGCTACAGCCTGCGCAGCCAGAAGCGCCAGAAGCGGGAGTGAGCCGGCGGCACTTACTAGCCATTTCACTCCCCACTTGGCCTGCCAAATACATACAGGCCAGGCCTGCTTGTCCGCCCATCTCTTTGCAGCCATTGCTGCACTCCAAGGAACCAACCCACAGCAAAGTATACCTTGCCTCAACAGCAGCTACTCCCTTGCCCTGCCGTCGCAGCAGCGTCCGTGCCCTGCTGCAGCGGCGGCCTTCTGTTGTGTACAACCCCTTGCACTATGTACCATACCCGCCCTTCCTTGCTTTCCCCTTCTTCCTTCTTTTGCCAATGTGCTTGATCCCACTCTGACTTGCCCTGCCCTGTACCCACAACGCGCAGCCCACAACAGCTTGTTTCGCCTGGTACTGCCGTCCCGCCTTGCTTCCCTGCTTCCCACGACCGAGAGCGCCCCTGTCACAGCCTGCTCTGACCTGCTCTGTGTGCACATGGCGGCTTTAACCTAGCGAGTGAGACAACAGAGAGTTTGAGGGGGGAGTCAAGTACAAGCAGGGATGCATAAAGTGAAGAGCGCAACAGGGGTGTATGTATGCGAGCATGGGTGCCTGAGCAAGAGGGTAGGGACGTCTGGGAGGAGGGTAGGAGCACGGTAGGGGAAGAGCGAGCCCCGCTCACTTGCGGGGCAAGCTACTGGGTAACAGCGACAGGGGAACAGCTACAGGATTGGGTAGGCCATGGGCGCGCTGGGCGCGCTGGGCTGCTCGATGACCAGCACGGGCGGCAGGCGGGCGCCCGGCGAGGAGTGCGGCGTGCCGAAGCGCGAGGGCGGGGTGTGGTAGCCGCCGGCCGCATCCGCCTCGCCCGCCGGCCGCGGCGGCAGCAAGGGGTCCCTGCCCTCGTCCCCTTCCACCCAGTAGCGATCCCTGCAGCCAGCGGGGAGCGCTCGCATGGTGTGGCATCAGCGGCAGAGGCTGGAACAAGTGGCGAGGGATGAGCTTGGGCAGAGGCGCAGCCACACATGCGCATCGAAGTTGCCGGCAGTGCCGAGCAGCTCACCACGGGTGCTTGTACCGCCTGCCGCCGGGCCAGCAGCAATACACGGCTCCCAGCAGCACCGCCGCCGCCTGCAGCACCAGCCACAGGGCCGCCAGGCCGGCTGCCAGGGTGCCGTGGCCGTCGGTCCAATCCAGGATGCCACTGAGGGCATACGTCTGGTCTCGGTCAGCCAGCCAGCGCAGCTGCGAGGGGTGCGCATGTGCGGCCCACACCAGCAGCCCCTCCAGCGGCAGCAGCACCAGCGTGGCACCCGTCAACTGCAAGGGCACGGATCCGCGCATTGGTGCTGAGACGACCGGCCTACGTACGCAGGTGGGCACAGCATGTGGCGGTGGCAGCAAAAGCCCTGGCGGCGGTGGCGGCGGCGACGGCGGGCACTCACGCAGTAGATGGCTGGTGCCAGGCCCAGCGACCCCAGGCAGCCAAGCAGGCAGAGTGCGCCGCCCAGGAACGACGCCAGCAGTGCGAACCACGAGACAGCAAGGTCAGTGACGGTGGCCCAGCTCAAGGCATGGAGGCCGCATAGAAGCAGGCCCAGGGCACCGAGCGCCGTCAACAGAGCGATGCCTCGCAACGCATCCTTTACGCAGGATTGCAAGCACGAAGACATGTGGTCCGCCTGGTCCCGAGACAACACGCAACAGCGACTGGGAGAGGTGGGAAGTTGCAATTTTGCCGTGAACTTGCCGTGGCAGTTTGTTCAGCACAAAACCCTGCTTGCGTGGCCCCCGTGGCAGAAACCTCCACCATCGTTTGCGCCTGGCGCCTTGCAGCGGCTCTATCACTCCCGCCTGAGGCTATACATCGCACACAGATTGCGTGCTGCACAGCCCCACCTGCTGGTTTCAACATCATGAGCTTGCAGTGTGGCTTGCGCAGCCGGGCGGTCTATGCGCCACACGGGCTGCTGGCGGAGGGGCGTCGCACAAGGCAGCCATCTGCTGCTGCGCCGTTGCTGCACCCTCCCGCCAGGCAGTGGCGAGCGGCAGCCCGCTCGCCGCTGGTGCAGGCCTCCCTCGTGCGGCAGCTGTGCCTCACCGCAGCAGGGGCAGCTGCTATCGGCGCAACAGCCGTGGCACTGCAGCGGTTGCAGCAGCAGCAGCCTCGGCAGAGGGAGCGGGACGGTGGCGCAGCTGGCGGCGGCGCAGGCGGCGGCTCTGGCTTGCCAGCGACGCCGAGCGCAGTGCAGCCCCTCTTTGGCCTGGGCTGGCCAAACAGGGAGCAGCAGCTGCAGAAGACGGTGCGCTGCTGCCAGAAAGAGCCTGAGTGGTGTGGCGCACAGCTGTCATCACCCTGCCCCCACCATTCACCCCGCCACCCTGCCTCTGCAGCTGCATGAGATCGAGAAGCAGCAGCACAAGGAGGCGGTGAAGCAGCTGCGGCGCTGGGACGAGCGCTTCTCGCTGCGCACCAAGCCGCTGGCAGAGCTGCGGGCGCTGGCGCAGTGAGCTGGGCCGGGGGCGACGGGCCCGCATGCTGCAGCATCATGCAGCTGCGGCTGCTGCTGCTGTGCTGTCAAGGGCTGGAAACAGACATGCGTCAACTGCCGTGCCGCTGCGTGCCTGGCCGACCGATCCGCAGGAAGCACAACATCCCGGGGCGGTCCCGCATGCGCAAGCCGGAGCTGGTGGCGGCGCTGGAGGCCAAGCTCGGCTGGGTGCAGCGGCGCCAGCCTCCGCCGGCGGCGCAGTAGCGGCGCGCTCGGCCCGGAATGTGTGCTGCCCTCAGCATCAGCTGTGAACCCCTCCACCGTGGGACCTATTCTTCCCTTGCTTCGGTGATCATGGCTTTCCTGACACCTCTCTTTGAAAACTTGATCCGACCCGTCCTGCGCTGCTGATGAACTACTGCCGCCGGCGCGCCTCCCTACACCGCTTGCGTTGCTGCACTGCTTTGTACCTTAGCAATGTATTGCCATGTAAGCCTGCGTTGGCCGCCGGGCGGTTTGCGGTTACGGTGGGTCCCATGCATCTTGAGTTCCACCTTGCCAAGAGTCACATTGCATTGACATGACACTGAGTGATGTCGATTTCCGCATCCGACTCCACAGGTAGCCAGCGCAAAGGCGAAGACAGCGCGATCGCGCGCGCGAAGGAAGCCGCCACGTCAGACGGTTTGCAAACACTTGCACAATGTTGCACAATAAAGAGCACAATAAATATACGGTTATTTGATCCATGTACTCCCTCAAGACCACTTCTGCCTCTTCCTCCTCCCCTGCGCCTGAGACACCCTCACAGCATGTCCGACATTGTCAGACGGGCGGAGGCCACGGCCCGTGGCAAGCAGGACCCGCAGACCAGCGAGAAGGCGCCCCCACGGCAGAACGGCATGCCGTCCACGCCCTCCAAGGGTGAGCAGCGGCAGGGCGGAGGGCGGAAGCGGCTGCGCCCGTGGCGGCCGCCCGCTCCCTCTGAAGCTGCGCCTGCTTGTGCATCCGCTTTGGCCCCGTTAGCTCCCCATCCCGGGCGTGCGGCTCTGCACAGCCCCTGGCCCATTCTACATGCTGCCGCCACTGGCAGCATGTAGCGCCCCGGCGATGCGAACCATACGCCGCCCTCCCTGGCTTTGCGGCTGTGGATGCAGGCACGGGGCGCACCGACGTGAGCATCTGCTCAGATGCCAAGGATCGGGTGCACCTGGAGGTGGATACACCCAAGGGAAGGCGCGGCGCCGCCGCTGGCTCCGGCTCCGGCGGGTGAGCACGCGGCGGCGGGGGCTGGGCTGGGGCCGCACGTACCTGCGCCGCCCACTGGCATGGGGGCCCAGTGGTGTGCCGCTTCACTCATGCCTGCCTGGATCACTGGTTCACTTGGATGCAAACCCCTGCTCCCTCCCGCCTGCTCCTCCCGCCTGCAGCTGGCCGCGCGATGGTGAGGAGTGGAAGCGCCTGCTGTCCAAGGCGGCCCCCTGGCTGGCCGCCGCCGCCGCCGTCGTGGCGGTTGCCGCCATCGGCCAGAGCCAGCGCGAGGTGGGAGGCTGAGCTCCTCCCGCTGCTCCGGAGCCAGCCCTTGCAGCTGCCGGTTGCCTGGAGCCAGCGCTCTGTGCAGGCTGGTGCCCGTCTGTTCTCAGCTTCCTGCCTCACCTCGCTCTCGCCATGCCATGACCCTGCCCAGTGCAGAACGGGGAGACCGTGGGCGACAAGGCACGCCGCGGCCGCGACCGCGCCGCTGCCGCTGCCGAGGAGGGGGCTGAGGGTGCCAAGCGCGGCTGGTTTGGCTTCAAGGCAAGCCCGGGGGTTAGGGCACTTTGCTGGTCTCCAGGGGGCAACCTGCTGGCCAGGGCAGGCAGTGCATTGCTAAAATTCGCCATTCGTCCTTCCTCCTACCGGCGCCTCTGCCTCTCCTGCTTGCGCCGTGCAGCGCCGCACCGAGGGCGCCGCCGAGAGCGCCGGCGACAAGGCGTGGGAGGCCAAGCACGCCACCAGCAGGAAGGTGGGTCCTCTGCAGTGCATCTCCTCCCTCGACTGCTGTGGGCCCCGCCTGTGCTGCGGTGCCGCTACCGGAGCTCCTTCACTGCCTGCCGAAGTGGATCCCATCCCTTGCCTGCCCGGCCCCACACGCCCTGCTCGCCCTCCTGGCCTGCCCCTCCGTCAGGCGGACGAGGCCAAGGGCGCCGTCAGCCGCGCGGCTGAGGCCGCCGCCGACACCGCCCGCGGCGCCGCTGACGCAGCCCGCGGCGCGGCGGGGCGCGCCGCCGAGCGCACCGTCGAGGCCGCCGAGGGCGCCAAGGCGGCCGTGCGGGACAGCGCCGAGGGCGCCAAGCGGGGGGCTGCCGACCTGGCGGCCAGCGTGAAGGAAGGCGCAGAGGGCGCCGCCGGCAAGGCTGCTAAAAAGGGGGATACCGGTTTCTTCGGTTGGAAGGTGAGAGGAGGCACGCGGGCTGGGAGGGAGGTGGGTTGGAGGGCGGCGAGCAGGGCTTGGCTGGGCCTGCCTTGGAACGCGACAGGCAGGCAGGCAGGGCAGGTGGATTGGCGGGTGGCTGTTGCAGCAGCATGCAAGCCTGCGCTGCGTGCTCTGCTTCAGCTGCCGAGCCGTCCACCAGCCCTGCACTAAAGCCTGGCCTGGCTCCCTGCTCCGCAGGAGGCCACCAAGGGTGTGAAGGAGCAGTACCGCCACGAGAAGGAGGTGGGAAGCTGGCAGCGAAGCAGCAGGCTGGCTGATCTGTGCCAGCTGCTGCAGGCTGGTGCACACCACAGCGCCACCGCACAGCCTTGGTGTGGCTGCAGAGCAGCGGCGCCGTCCACAAAGGGACCTCTCTCCCTGCGCTGCCCTCGCAGCGCCGCCAGCTGTGGCCCATCACTGCCCCTCACTCCCTGCCCCACTGCGCTGCCCGCAGGAGGCGGCCCGGCTGAGCGGCCGAGGCCGCTGACGCAGCCAAGCCCGCTGCGCACGCCATGGCCAAGGATTCCAAGGTGTCACACCCTCTTTCAAATTTATCCGACCCGTCCTGCGCTCCTGATGAACTGCTGCCGCCGGCGCGCCTCCATGCACTGCTGTTTGTTGCCACACTGTGTTGTACAATGTCTATGTAAGCCTGCGTTGACTGTAGGGCGGTTTGGCCCGCCAGTGTGGGGCCCCATGTGGCATACATCTCGAGTTGCAATGCGACTCTGCCCCTGGATCTGGCGTGCCAGCCCTGCTGCATGCATCAGGCGCTCCCGGGAGCCAGCGCGAAGCCGCCACGTCAGACCGCCAACTCCTCCAGGGCCGCCCTCTCCCCCCGCGCCCCATCTTTGCTCTCTGTATTTCATCGCTGCTCTCCCCCCGCTTCTGCCTCTTTCCTCCTCGCCTCAGACACCTTCGCAGCATGGCCGACATTGTCAGCCGGGCCGAGGCCACGGCCCGTGGCAAGCAGGACCCGCAGCCCAGCGAGAAGGCTCCCCCACGGCCAAGCGACATGCCGTCCACGCCCTCCAAGGGTGAGCAGCAGCAGGGCTGGGGGTAGAGGCCGCTGCGCCCGGGGCGGCCGCCGGCTCCCTCTCAAGCCGCGCCTACTTGTGTCAGCTTCTGCCCCGTCAGACTCCCCAGCCCAGCACGCGGCTCTGCACAGCCCCTGACTTTCCAGTCTTCGCTCCACCGGTGCTGGCAACCCACCGCCGCAGCCGCCTTGCATTCTGGCGGCGACAGCGCCCCGCCGCGCGGCCCTCCCCGGGCTCCCCGCCAACGCCCTTGCGCGGCTGTGGGTGCAGGCACGGGGCGCACCGACGTGAGCATCCGCTCAGATGCCAAGGATCGGGTGCACCTGGAGGTGGATACACCCAAGGGAAGGCGCGGCGCCGCCGCTGGCTCCGGCTCCGGCGGGTGAGCACGTGGCGGCGGGGCTGGGCTGCCAGCCCAGTGGGGGCCGTGCGTGCCAGCGCCGCGCCGTGGCACAGAGGCCCCGGTGGTGTGCCGCGTCACTCGTGCCTGGCTGGCTGGCTGGCTGGGGCTGGCTCACTTGGTTGCAACCCCCTGTTTCCCTCCCGCCTGAAGCTGGCCGCGCGATGCTGAGGAGTGGAAGCGCCTGCTGTCCAAGGCGGCCCCCTGGCTGGCCGCCGCCGCCATCGTGGCCGCCGCCGCCATCGGCCAGAGCCAGCGCGAGGTGGGAGGCTGAGCTCCTCCCGCTGCTCCGGAGCCAGCCCTTGCAGCTGCCCGTTGCCTGGAGCCAGCGCTCTGTGCAGGCTGGTGACTGCCCGTTGTCAGCTGCCTGCCTCGCCTTGCTCCCACCATGCCATGACCCTGCCCAGTGCAGAACGGGGAGACCGTGGGCGACAAGGCACGCCGCGGCCGCGACCGCGCCGCTGCCGCCGCCGAGGAGGGGGCTGAGGGTGCCAAGCGCGGCTGGTTTGGCTTCAAGGCAAGCCCGGGGGTTAAAAGGCACTTTGCTGGTCTCCAGGGGGCAACCTGCTGGCCAGGGCAGGCAGTGCACTGCTAAAATTGCTCCATCCGTCCTGCCTCTTTAAGTGCCGCCTCTGCCTCCCGCCTGCGCCGTGCAGCGCCGCACCGAGGGCGCCGCCGAGAGCGCCGGCGACAAGGCGCGGGAGGCCAAGCGTGCCGCCAGCAGGAAGGTGGGTCCTCTGCAGTGCATCTTGACACCCTCGGCTGCTGTGGGCTCCGCCTGTGCTGCCGTGCCGCTACCGGAGCTTCTCCACTGCCTGCCGAAATGAAAACCAATCCCTTGCATGTCGTGCCTGACTCTGTCCTGCGCGCCCCTCTGCCGTGCTCCTCCCTTCAGGCTGATGAGGCCAAGGGCGCCGCCAGCCGCGCGGCGGAGGCCGCCGCCGACACCGCCCGCGGCGCGGCGGGGCGCGCCGCCGGGCGCACCGTCGAGGCCGCCGAGGGCGCCAAGGCGGCCGTGCGGGACAGCGCCGAGGGGGCCAGGCGGGGCGCCGCTGACGTGGCCGCCAGCGTGAAGGAAGGCGCAGAGGGCGCCGCCGACAAGGCCGCTCAGAAGGCGGAGACTGGCTTCTTCATGTGGAAGGTGAGAGGAGGCACGCGGGCTGGGAGGAGGTGGGTTGGAGGGTGGCGAGCAGGGCTTGGCTGGGCCTGCCTTCAAAGCCGCAGGCAGGTAGGCAGGCAGGGCAGGCTGGCTGGCGGGTGGCTGCAGCAGCTGCACGCAAGCCTGCGCTGCGTGCATCCGCCTCAGCTGCCGAGGCGGTACCCTCAAGCCACACCAGCACCTGGCCTGGCTCCCTGCTCCGCAGGAGGCCACCAAGGATGTGAAGGAGCAGTACCACCGCAAGAAGGAGGTGGGAAGCTGGCAGCCAAGCAGCGGGCTGGCCGAGCCGTGCCGGCTGCTGCAGGCTGGTGCACACCACAGCGCCACCGCACAGCATTGAGCCTGGCTGCAGGGCAGCGCCGCCATGCACGCAGGGACCTCTCGTCCAGCCTGCCCTTGCAGCGCCGCCTGTTGAGGCCCAACCCTGCCCCTTGACTCCCTTCCTCGCCCCGCCCCGCCGCGGTGCCCACAGGAGGCAGCCCGCCTGGCGGCCGAGGCCGCCGAGGGCGTCAAGCACACCGCACACGACGTGGCCGAGGGCGCCAAGCACGGCGCACAGGCGGCGGGCCAGGCGGCTCACGAGGCCAAGGATTGGACCAAGGCCAAGGCGGGGGTGAGCGGGCGTTGCGCTTGGGTTGGGGTGGTGGCGGTGGCAGTTGCTCGGCGGGATCGCTGCCCTGGCTGTTCTGCAGCTGTTGAAAGTTTGGTCGAGAAACACTTGGCTGAGCACAGCGCCGTCTGCCTCTCGCCCCACCTCTCACCCCACCTCCCCGCCGGGCGCTCTCCCGCAGGACGCCGCTGACGTGGCGCGCCGCGCCGAGCACGCCGCCGAGGATGCCGCCTACAAGGGCGTGAGCAAGGGCGTGGCCGAGGCGGGCTCCGCGGAGGAGAAGACTGGCAAGGTGTGGGGGGGGGCGGCTGCTGGGCTAGTCGGGCAGCACTCAGGCAGGGCAGCACCATCCTGCAGGACTCGAGGAGCTCCTGGGAGGAGGGCTGGGAGAGTTAAGACCGCAGGACGCTGCCACTGGCTGTTGCTGCTGCCAAAGCAGCGCCACAGATGGGGCCCCATCTGCTGCATCCACACGCAGCGCTGACGCAGTGCTGCCTGCGCGCCGTGCTGCCTGCTCGTGCAGGCCATGAAGGAGGCCGGCAAGCGCATCGAGAAGCAGGGGCGCGAGACCAAGCAGTGAGCTGCCGCCGCCGCCGCCGTCGTTTCGATATCGTGGCCTGATGCCCAGCCTGCCAGCTCGGCGGAGGGCGCTGCCTGTTATGGCAGCCGGCCGGGCAGCCTGGCAGGAGTTGAGTCGAGAGTCTCCAGCCTGCTGCGGCCCGGCCACACATTTACGGTGCCTCCCTGTTGTGCTGAGCTGGACTGTACCGCCATGGTACTGCAGGTACTACCGTGGCGAGTCGGTGGACCCCGAGGCCTCCCCCAAGAAGAAGCGCTGGCTGTGGTTCTGGTGAAGGGACTGCGTTGCTGCTGGCAACAGCCGAGGGAGGAGGAGGCTGCTGCTCTGCTGGTCTGTGAGGCCTGTCAATTTGAGGCAGTGAAGGATGGGCACAGTTCCGTGCGAGAGCCCGAGATAGTAGCACCTGAGACTGTTTGATTGCAATGCAATGCACGCTTGCTTGAATGCGCCGTGTCGACATGTTGTTCTGCCTGCGCCCATCTCTGAGGGCCCCCTGCCTTGCTGCTGTGTGAATTAAATGACTCAGTTCCAGCATAGAGAGGCACAGGAAGCGCAGTACATTAACGGTTGGAAGAAACTGCACAGCTTAATAGTTGCTCTCCTTGCCCTGGTGTCGTCCCCTGCCAGCCCTCAGGTTGAGTGGCTGATCGAGGTGGTCAGCCCCGGGTGTGCTTGTAGCCCGGGGTGCGGCGCGGCTGGGGCGGCAGGCCCAGCGCCGCGGCGCGCGCCTGCCGTGCCTCGCGCAGCACGCAGGCGCGGAAGGTGGCGCCACGCTCGCCCTCCTCCTCCCCCTCCTCCAGCGCGTCCCGCTCGTACAGCCCGCCGTAGCAGGCAGGGGACATGCACCTGCGGGAGCGGACGGGAAGAAGGCGGGGGCCGGTGCTGGCAGTCCACCCAGGGCAGCCCTGGGTTAGGCGCAGCTCAGCCAGCCTCCCCCAGCTCTGCGCCCAGCCACCCGGCGCGGGCAGAGCCCTCACGCCGCCACTCACCGCCGGACGCAGTTCTCCCAGGCCGCCACGCCGCCGTCCACGCTCCCATCGTCCACGCTGACGCAGCCGCCTCCCAGCCCCTCGCACCGCCTGCGCAGCTGCTCCCAGTCCTGCTGCGGGTGGGGGTAGGCGTGGGGGCGGCGGGCCGCGGCGCCGCCAACCGCCACAGCAATGGCCAACACGCAAAGGAGGGCCCGCAGCTCCGGCTGCCCGCCCATTGCGTTCCCCTGCTATCAGCGTGCCAGAGTCAGCCCCCAGGGACCGGAGTCGCGGACCGGAGAGGCGACGTCGACCACAGCAGGCTCCGCGTGCTCCGCTGGCAACGCGGCGCGGATTGGCCTCAAAGCCCGGCCCCTGGAGCTTGCAGCCTCATTCTATCCATTTCAAACAGTTTGCGGTCCCCCGCAACGCCTCCCCCTCCACCCACCCACAGCCATCTCTGCCCCGCCCACCGGCCGGCCTCCGCCCACCAGCAGCCATGCCCATCTCCGTTATCCCCACCTGCGACGCCGCCTCACGTGCAGACACCGGTGAGTGGTGCATGGGGAGTGTGGGGTGGCTGAGCCTACCAAAAGTGTCAGGGATCTGGTTGCCGCGTCCACAGATGACATGCATGCCCACCGTGCCCCTCACCTCTCTTCCCCCTGCTTGCCCTCCTCCCCACCCCGGCCCTGCAGTTGCAAAGCGCCGCCAGACCATGGCAGGCTATGGCCCCCGCCGCGGCGCCGCCGCCGCCGCCGCCACCTCCCCTCGCAAGCACGCCGCCAGCCGGCTGGGTCGCGCCAAGTCTGCCGAGCGGGAGGCGAGCTTCGCCGCCGCCACCTATGGCCACGCCACCAGCACCTGGACCATCCCCTCCCGCCCCATCCCTTCCGCCGCCGCTCCCGCTGCTAGCAGCCTAGCTGCTGCTGCCCAGGAGCAACAGGAGTGCGCTGTGCACATCCTGTGCCTGCCCCACGGCGCCATCCAGCTGCTGCTCTTCGCCTCCCAGCAGCCTACATCCGCCGCCGACCAGACCGCCCCCGCCACACCCGCCCCAGCACCGGCCCAGCCCTGCACCGCCATCATCCTCTACCCGCCACGCGGCGCCCTGCGCCTGCCCTGCGCCACGCCCGCTGCGGCTGCCGCGCCACAGCACAGCGCCTGCCAGGCCACCGCCTCTGCCCCCGTCTCTGCCGCCGCCACCCTCGACCTGGAGCTGTCACCCGAGGAGGTGGGTGCCTGGCTGGCTGCCTTGCAGCAAGGAAGGGCCGCCTGAGGTGGTGCTCGCATCTACCAACCTGCATCTTTCACCTCCCAGCACTCACTCAAGCCTCTCACACCCGTGCCCGCCCTCCTCTGCAGGCTCAGTGGCTGGTGCAGCCCCCTGCCCTGCTGGACGCCACCACCACCATCTCCCCGCCACCCGCCAAGACCGCCACCCGTGCTGCGGCGGCTGTGAGCAAGGCGTTTAGCCACACCGCCGCCACCGCCCGCCGCCTGTGCAGCAGGGCGACGGCATCGGCTGGCGCGGGCGTGCGCCGCCTGTGCACCAGGCTCGCCACGGCCTCCTGCCTCGCCAGGCCCGCTGTGGCTGAGTAGCAGCGCCGGCTGCTCTGTCGATAGTGTGTTTGTCCCTGAACCAAGGGGCACTTGCCTTTGTTGTGTTTGCTTGCTGCTTTTTGACACATCGTGTCCACCCAAGCTTGACAGAGCTGTTTGTTTCTGCCTGACTGAGTTTCATTGAGACAAGGCATTGCAATTAAAGTTAGTGGTGTAAACTTTCGCGCGTTCACACAAGCTCAAGGCAGGGAAGAGCAGTGCAGCGCAGGGTGCGGGATATTCGTTCATACAGACAGCCGGCGTGCCGGGCAGGCAGCAGGGCCAGTCAATCGTACATCTTTCTTAGCTGATCTCAGTCGAAGTCGGAATCCTCGTCGCTTTCTGACCGCCGCACGCCGCCCTGCCGCAACGTTCGCTGCTGCACCTCTGCCGCCGCCTGCTGCGGCGCCGGGAGCGCGTCTTCAAAAATCGCGCCTGCCGCCGCCAGCCGCGCCGCCAGCACCTCTGCACGCAGCAGCACCGGCATGGGCCGTCAGCAGCAGAAAAACGCAATGAAATGCGTCCGCCAGACCCTCTGCTCCACTGCCCTGTCCCAAGGTAAACACTGGGCTGCCCTGCTTGGCCTTCCTGCCGCTTCAGGGCAGCCGGCCAGCACAGCCGCACTGTCTGCAGCCTCCAGCCCGCCCTCACAGCCTCCCGTCCACCCCACAGAGCCCCCCCCCCCCCCC